CGTTTACTTTTTGCAATACTCACCAAAAATATGGTAAACTTCTATGAAGACTTTGAAGCGTTTTAAGGTACACGACGCAAATGTATTTCAATGACAAATATAAATGTTATTATAGTGGATAGAGGGATAGATTATATATATATATATATATGCATATATATTCTATTCTATTCAAGAATTGGAAGCAACTGAAGTATCTACATGATATTGATATTAATAAATGGAATGCAGGTATTATATTCGCCTGAATAAACAACAATGGTGATTAGACATCACATCATGAAAATAAGTTGCTTCAAAAACTACACCCGCAAGATTTTAATACTAGTAATTGTCACAATGGGTCGTTTCTTTTATTTTCGAAAGAATGACACTTAATCATTTTTTTAATAAGCTTATAAAATGGTGTTAAAATGAATACAAAATTTCTCACATAAATGTTTTTAAGTCATTGAAAATATAAATTACCAAAAACTTATTTATTCTAGAAAATTCTTGTCGGATTAAAAAAAAATACTTCACATTTATTAGGCGATAAGTTAATTACTTATAGCTTCACTATAGTTATATGTCATTTATAAAAGCTTAAAGGGCAAATTAAATAAATTAAGTGTAATTGTATTTAATGAAATCAGACATAGCCGGTATCATCATCGTATAAAGCAACTGTGTCCAATAGATTACGTGACGGTTAGTTTAGGGAGTATTATATAAAGTCTAAACATAAAGTACTTACTACTTTATGTTTGACCCGTTTACAAAGTTACTATATAATATAGAGGAACGAAATATTTATTAATTTAATAGTGGTGTGAACTTATTACTTACGTATAATATTTTTTTTTTTCGAGTTCTGCTTAAATAGTATAACTAATTCAATAAATTGATTTCTAAATGCCCGATAAAGAAAATATAAAAATAACGCATTTTTGACATCATTATCCAGCGTACAAGTATCATTATTTTAAGAATAAAATACATTACAATGTAGGTATACATTTATTACATAATTAACTTTTGTAATATAAATTTTAATTTGTATTATAATTTAATTTTGTAACACAACTTACATTTGTATACCTAATCATTTGTAACACTACTACTACGTCTCTGCTGTATCATACATACATAGTGTAATGAAATTATATTTTTATGTATATTCTAAAGACATTTTAACCATTTACTACATAGCTACCGGACAGGTAAATAGTACGTATATATCAAACTTACCAAGCTAACTTTAGGGGTAAGTTAAAGTTTCACCATTTTAGCATATTCAAGTCATGCCAAGTTTTGTACGTGATCTGAATAATAAAAGAGTTTGGAAAATTCAATATTTTGTTTCGATATGAATTCAATAAAATAGTCTAGACAAAATTCCTCATCTTGCTCGGCGATATTTTTCAATTTATAAATTAACTAACGGATTTGCTTTGCACATCAAAAGGAAAATCACAACAGCAACATAAGGTTTTGCCTGATTCGGGATTGCTCCTTCTCCCATTGTTTTTTTTTTAAGCTTTCTTATGATTATTAAAGTTTTCCTTATTGTCTGCTTATTATTTATATTCGTATTTTGATTTACGTTTGAATATTGCACTCTAATTTCAGATTTGCATTCACACTGTTGTCTGTCCGTTTGTCACAATTGATCTATATTCAACGTTAAGTTCATTTGATTCAGCCCGACGCATTGAACGTATTGACATACAGTATTGAACTTGGATTTAATTTGAGTGATTTTTTTTCGAATTGAGTGACACGTGGTAAATTTGCAGTTCTTCAATCTATAGCACTGGAAGAACACATTGTGACGTATTTACACGATATCCGCTTGCGGCGTCCGGATTTCTGATCTAGGGAGCGATTCTGTAAATATTCCGAACACGAATTCGAATTCACTGGTGTATCCGAATTCACGTCATTTAGTGTAGAAATTCAATTGGTTTCAATTTTTGTATACATAGCTTAAATAGTATATTTCTATGTCATTTCTAAACTCACTTCACTTATGCCACGAAACATTATTACCAATTCAAGGTTGTGCGGATGCCGCTTTTGAAGTGAATTCAGACACCTGAGTGAATGCGAATTCGAGTTCAGATTTTTAGAGTTGCAGGGCTGTTTCTCATTTTCATTGGTTTATTGACCAATAAGCTCGAAGTGGTGGCCTGCAATCCGGGTGTTGAACCCATCGACCAGTGTAAACGAGCCATTAAAAGTTCATACAAAGATCTTAACGGCGTAGCACCACTTCCTAATTTAGTCTGGTAAGTTATCAATCACTTCTTCTGTAATAATTATAATAATTGCATACTATAATTTTTTCTAAGAATCAAATAAGTACTGTTAATTTTTATATCCTTCACTACCATAAGATACTAACAGTTCCAAATTGGATGGTCTATCCGTCGTCAGTGCAAACTCATGGTGACACCGCGTGCCGTCACTTCCGCCCATCTGCCTAGCTTTGGTTCGCGTTCCATTTTTGGCGGGAACAGAATGTATGTACCCCATTCTATTTCTCGCAGACTCCGTCTGACATAGGGATGAAGATGGATATTGTATATTTAATTATCGATATTTAAGCTCTATCGCTATTTGTCGAGCGAAAAATATCGCTTCATCGTTTTAAGGTAAGGATTGTCTCCTATTCGTCTAAAAATAAATAAATTATTTAATGATTTTTTTAGTGATATTGTTTTTTATAATAAAGAACTAAATATTAAATATTTACATCAATATTTAATATTTAGCTCTTATAACATAGTCGAATTTTTAGTAAAGGAGATTTTGTTTATTTGCTAGGCATATTTTTTTTCCAATACATATCATCTATACTAATATTATAAAGATGAAAGGTTTGATCAATTGTTTGCATTGAAAAGGCTCCCGAAGTACTGGACTGATTAAAAAAAACATCAACTACGGGAAGCTACATCATACGAGGCTATAATGCATAGGCTATAATTTATATCGGCGAAATCGCGGGAAAACATTGATTTACAATTTACGAAGAAATCGCCAAACATACCTACTCACATTAAATAAACTTACCCGTTTGAACATATAACGACTTGGCTGGGCACTTCCGTGTCCCAAGATTCTTCTTTCGGATTTTGAATAAATACAAAATAGACAATCTTTTGGAAAGACAAAAGATTTGGAATTATCGCTGTTTTAAACATATCATCTATTCGATTCCGGTAAATCACGGGACCACGTCGAGCCAATAACCTGTCTTATAAAAAAGAATTTTGAAAATCGGTCAACAATTCGCTGAAATATCAGTGAACATAAATAAAAAAACATCACCATCGAACATACAACCTCCTCCTTTTCGATTTTAAAGTCGGTTAAAAATATCGATAACTCTTACCCAAACCTAGTCCGACACACTAATGAGTACGTAAATATCTCATCATTACGGCTACCAGGGTTCACGTATAAATCTAAAGTAAGACTGATGGTTTCTAACACTGGTAGATATAATTTTTACCTAACATTATTGTTGGATTTAATGTCAGTAAAGTGTCGACCATTTTTGTCTGTATACAAATACTGTACACTAAAACATATTAGATAACATACATTGTTCAAATCTGAAAATAAATAGCTCAAGTACTCTAGTATTCTGGAAATTAAAACAACGAAGTTACCATAACATCCAGGCTCGAAACAATTTAGGAAAGTTCTTTTTCAATAGTGATCTGGAATAGATATTAGGACCTCAGAAATGGCACTGAAACCGGAGTGCAAGCCACTCAATCATAACTATGTAAAATAATCTATACTAATATTATAAAGAAGAAACGTAATTATGTTTACAGGGAATAAATTCCGGAACTACTAAACCGATTTTTAAATTTATTTTACCTACGGGAAGCTGCATTATACATTATACGCGGAAGAAGTCGCAGGAAAACAGCTAGTCATATTATACAATAATAATATACAAAAATGACAAGTTGATCGGAATTTAAATAGTGGTTGGTTCATTCAACCGAAAGGCAGTCGGTAAAATGCTTTCTCGGGGGTAAAAATAAACGAGTATAATATAAAGTACATAAATAAATAGAAACTTCTATAGTCTCTTCCTTATTTTACTTGGAGTCAATTCACTCAACTATAATTTCAACATTCAACCTTTTCTTAGCCTTTTCTTTATCACAATCCATTATCTTTCTTCAGCATTTTTGAGAGGAGTCTACAGTTGGCAGGAGACAACGAGTCTAGTGCGGCGAACGTAGTAGCTTAAATGGCGATAATAGTAAGCTAGCAGCCAGATCTATAAGTGTAGAGTGCCTGACTATGCACCTTTTAAAATGAACTACGGGAAGTGCACTCAGGACTTTCACGAGCTCATCCCTTTACCATTTTATCATTGGCAATCTTTTCACATGGCGGAATACCACTCTCATTTGGTAGACAATCCAAACCACCGCACAAATTGCTTCTCGTCATTTTTGTACTCCGCAATGCCAAGGTGTTCCCTACTGGCGTATTATTCTCAAGTACATATAAAATTAGACCTTTTTAAGACGAGAGTGAATAGACCCTTCTGAACAAGCTCGTTCCACCGCACTTCTCTTTCATACTTCAGCTTCTTCAAAATTTCGGCAGAATTCCTTTCTGTGGCGTGCGTGCAATAGATTTAATGAGTTATCGAAGCGAATAAACGTCGACCTTTTTAACACTAGCGAAGCGTCAATTAGGCGCATTATAAGTAACCTATTTTTCGAAAGTCCATAGTGTTGTAGATTTAAGTATAATGTAAGCAGCATAGTCTATCATTGTTATGATTGTAAGCGGTCTTTCTTCTCTTTTTTCTTTTTTTTTTATACTATGTCTATCTGTGACGACCTGTAAGTGGCTGTCTGTTTTTAGCTAAGATTTTTATTATGTAATTTTTAGCTGTTGGTCATCCATGTACATAAATAAATAAATAAATACTGTCCGGGCTGGATTGAGATCAAAGGGAGTTTAGTTTTCATCCTTACCTTCATCCATGGTAAGTGCATGGGAGACTACCGCCATAGCGAGAAACGCAAAGGCGCTTCCGCGTATGGCCTTTCCGGACATTATCTGAAAAAAATAATGTTATATTGTGGTAATGAAATTCAATAACTTATCATGCTTCTTAGTTTTCTGTATCCTATTAATTATTAATATTATAAATACGAAAGTTTCTTTGTTTGGATGTTTGTCCGTCAATAACACCGAAACTAATGAACGGGTTTTGATGAAATTTGGTATACAGATAGGTTAGCTGACTTAGATAATAGGATCCTTTTTATCCCACTAAATAGTTCCCTAGGGACCACGCGGGCGAAGCCGCAGGCGGAAAGCTAGTTATGGTATAAATTCAACCACTTGCATTACAGCGGCACCCAAACTATTAGATTGTTTCTTTGTAAGGTTGAAAAAACTTAAAAAAAATAGAACCTACTCAAATTTAAAAAAGTTATAAATAATACTTATCTCAATAGCGACTTTTGCAAGACAATTCTATTAAAGTCAGACTATTATTATTAGTCTGTCATCGCATAACTTCAAGCATTTTCTTGTATAAGTTGCTTTTGAGATAAGTATTATGTATCACTTATTTAAAGGTGTTTCTATTTTTTTATTTTATTTCATGTTTTTTAGTGATATTGACATTTTTATATATATATAAAAAAATAAGAAATAAGTAACACTAAAAATATTGAATATATAAATAAAAATATTCAAGATAGTGAAAGTTAGGAAAGGAGATTTTGTTCTTTCCTGAAGAAGTACATTTAAATAAAGAACTTTAAAAAAATTATATAAAATCTACAAAGTGTATGTTGACATAAAGATATAAAAAGTATAATCTATCTACAAAAAGGACATAACACTTATTGAACATAGTAACTCCTCTTTCGGATTTTGAAGGATTGCAAGATAAGTACTTTAACATTAATGTTATGAATTTGTCTTTCATAAAATAAAGTATTATTTTTTATAGTAATTTTATGCAAGTATTATTTTTAGGTTTTAGTACACACAAATATAAAGTTTGCTTTTTTTGAATTTATATAAACATATCATCTAAATATTAGGGGTTAAAGTATAAAATTGCCGTTTTATTGTAATAGGTTCCTTGAATTGACATAGAATCTTCATGGTTTGAGATTTTCGAAAGAAACTTTTTCACATGGTTTCTATGATGTTCTTCTTTGAAAAAATGTGAAACATTTGAATATCGACTATCAATTGTTTCTGTTATTCAACTTAACCAAGAACGATGGATACTGTGAAAATTCGAGTGATTTTTAATTACAAGTTCCGACGCGGCAGTAACGCGGCAGAAACAGCCCGCAATATGAATGTTGCGTTTGGAGAGGGGTCTGCTAACGTACTGTGCAATTTTGGTTTAAACGCTTTTGTGATGGAAACTTTGACTTAAAGAACGAGCGACGAGTAAGACGAGCCCACATGGGTGAATAACGATGAATTAAGAGAGATGATGGAAGCCGATCCTAGTCAAACTACCAAATAATTAGCGTCATGGTTTAACGTTACCTTACCCACAATATTGACTCATTTGCGTCTAATCAATAAAACAAAAAAATACGAAAAATGGATACCTCATGATTTGACTGATCTGCAGAAAGAAACGCGTGTTGAAACTTGTGTTGCCTTGTTGAATCGGTAAGGAAATGATGAAATATTGGATCGAATTGTGACATGTGACGAAAAGTGGATTCTTTATGATAACCGTAAAAGAAAAATACAATGGCTGACCCCAGCTCACCCTCAATGGCAAACGCCACAACAGTGTCCTAAAGCAAAACTAGCAAATAAAAAAGGTAATTGTAACTGTTTGGTGGTCTCAGCGTGGTGTTATTCACTATAGTTTTCTCCGATCTGGTAAAGCAATAACAGCAGATGTCTATTGTGGCGAACTCCGAACAATATTGCGAAAACTAACAGTAAAACAGCGCCGACTCATGAATCGATCTTCACCATTATTGCTCCATGACAACGCGAGACCTCTTACAGCACGAGAAACCGTTTTGACCCTTCAGGAACTGCAGTTAGACACCATTCGTTATCCTCCGTATTCGCCAGACCTTGTTCCAACGGACTACCATATTTTTCGTGATTTGGACAATTATCTACGTGACAAGAAGTTTTCTTCCCAGGAGGCAGCACAAAATGCTTTCACACAGTTCATGCAGTCTAAATCCTCAGAGTTCTATCGCAAAGGCATAATTGACCTTCCTATTAGGTGGCAGCAATGTATAGATATAAAGTTAACTATTTTGATTAAATAAATTTGTTAAAAATAAACAATTTTGATTTTCAGTACAAATCGGCAATTTTATACTTTAACCCCTATTATTTAGGTGATATTTGATGAAAAGCGTACTTTATTTTGTTATAAAAGGAAAACTACTGATTCGAATTCGATAAAATTTAAATAAGACAACCTCAGTCTATTAAAAACAATTTTGAAAATCGGTCAATAATTGACAGAAAAATCGGTGAACATACATAAAAAATACATCGCTGTCGAACATATCTCCTTTTCGAGTTTGAAGTAGGTTAAAAATTAATAAGTTCATACTCCGTTGGTCACAGAAAAAAACAAAATAAATGTTTACTTTAAAATTAAAACAAAACCGTTTTTAAAACGCCCTCAATGTAATTAATCATTTTTTAACAATTCGGTTTTAGATTTTTTTATTAATCTTATGGATTTTTAAACAATATTAAATAAAAAAAATTGTGTTATGTACGGTCTACTTCAATAAACTTTAACCCTGCTAAATATCCTCCCCCATCCATGTAATCCAATTTTCATAAAAAGGGTAGACATTTTTTGTTTATTTGTAAAATATGTGTATATTTCTATGCGCTGAATTACTGGACCTGGAGAACAGCTGATAATTCTTTTTTTTAATTTTCTTATAGAAACAAAACAATTAAAATGAAATAATACTCTAAAGGTAACTATTTCCTTTTCCCATACAAACTAGATAAATATGAGTAAATTCCTCTAGGTATTATTATATATATTTTTATAACTTTTTCGTTTATTTTAAAGATGTCACTACCATTGTAAAATTTATTTTATTAAAGTACTTTTATAATATTTCAATTGTATAAATACTTTTCTTGGTACTTTTTAGAAACTTGAAAGAACATGAACTATTAATATGCCTAGTAGGTTTATCGGAAAATTATATGAAATGAAAGCGTACTAGATTTTTATTAATAAATTAAATAATATTTACTTACCACTTAATATTTATTGAATCAACTATTCACAATAACACAACTTTCGATTCCCGCGAAAAGCTCGTTCGTATCGTAGCCAAGCAAGCGCGTGCGCGTGTGCCTACGCGCCACCCGACTGACCACTGACAATTACATTATAGCCTACAGTACTACTCAACAAGTAGGACATGCCCCATGGGGGCTGAAAGAAGTCGTAAACGTATAACGAGGGGGCCGCAAAAAATATTAAAGTTGAATTTTTATACTAGACTAGTTGTTTTACGGTGACTTCGCCTAAATTACCTGTGTTATGTAGCTTCCTATAGGTAAAAGAATTTTTAAAATCGGTCCAGTAGCTTCCTGTTCAATGCGAACAAACAAATGATCAAATTTTTCCTCTTTATAATATTGGTACCTATAGATATAGGAAAAACGTTCGGATTAATAAAATACCGACCTTGAACCAGTCAAAAGTCAAAATAATCTTTATTCAAATGGACTTCTTAAAAGTACTTTTGAATCGTCCAACATTTTTGCCCTGCCACTCGTTCAGGACGTCTTTTGGCTGATAAGAAGAACGAGCAAGAAACTCACCAGCTCTAATAAGAGTAAATGACATTTACAAAAACCATGTTATTACCAGATCAATACATTATAAACAGAGATAGAAAAAAAAACTATGGTCTTATAATGATAACATAATCATTTAATAATAATGGAAACAAGATAATGAGTTTAGAAGTAATCACCTATCCAGTTGCTGGATCATCTCAAGTCCAAGCGTTCTTATCTGTTATATAATCGGATACTTTATATTAAGCTTTTTTAATAAGTATTTTTTAATAGTAGATTTAAACTGCATGACAATTGTTGTATTTTGCTTGGGACTTTATTGTAGAAGCGCACACAAAGACCCTTAAACGAATTATTAACTTTTTGCAGTCTAGTGACAGGCACCGTTAATTTATTTTTATTTCTTGTATTAAAATTGTGTACATCACTTTTTGCAGAAAACAAACTAATATTTTTACGAACGTACATTAAGATACAGTGCCGCCATTAATAACTTTCAAAGAAATAACGTAGAAAATTTGTTATTTAAAAAAATTCTAAAGGTACTCGCTGAATCAGATTTTATAAAATTTGCTCCCTAGAAAAAAACATAATGTTTCTTTTCATTGTCACCACTTTTGTCAGTTTTTTGTTGTGTTATACCATTTTTAGAGTTCCGTAGTAAAAAAGGAACACATAGTTTCGCCATGTCCTTCAATCCGTTTATTCCATTCAGTAAACCATTTGTGACTTATTAAGCTTTAGAGAGCTAATTTTCGTTAGAGTCAAGTTCCCCCTCCCCCCCTCTCCCCTCTACCAGCTAAGCGGTGATTAGTGAAGATTCAAACATTTCAGATTCAGATTCTAATATAATAATACAAGCACTTGTGAAAGTCGAAAGCTGTGCCATCAGATCGTAAATCTACGGTGGGAGACCTTGTACTGAGAAGAACCGGCAAATAACACAACAAGGACTGCTGTTCAAATTATTATTAAAATATGACTTCATTAGAATATAAAGTCAAAAAGACTATAAGACTGTGTCAGTTTTATTTTACAATATGCAACTGATATACAAAATGTTTAACAGAACAGAAAAATAATTAAAGTCAGTAGTCCAGAGCACACACATCAGAAAATGACGCATGAGCCAGCCATCGCTTCGCTCTATCATATTTTAGGAAACGTAAAGACCCGACGCACACGACACCTCCGTAGAGATTTTTAAGAGAGCATAGAGCATGACATATTCTGTGTACTCAAATTTGGTCACTATGCTA